GCTCACGCAACTTACACTCAATTCCTTTCGATTCGAGAGGGAGAGAGAGTGAAAAGAAAATGCGTCCTCAGCTTGAAGCATGCATATAACCGCGAGCTCTATTCGTGGCTCCAGTTAGTGAGCCAACGCGGCGTGTGGTTCAGCTGCTGATGTCGTGCAGCAGAAGGCAGAAGGCATTCGCAGCACATTCAGAGCTACAGATCTAAACACTCTTGCATTCTCGAACAAAATCCCAACGACGATCGTTTAATCAACATGAAAAAAGAAAGAGACACAAATTTCCATACATGCATTCACTGTGGAAGGTGCGAAAATGAGACATGCACCGGAAAAGATGGGTCGCATTGCCCAGTACACACGCATTCACCGTTCACAAGGTAAGAAGACAGGGTCCTTGCATAGGAGGATTACCCAGGAAACTAGTGGAAGAGTTCCGGAAGAAGTTCTTTTACACAAGGAAAGCGCATCGATTCGCTCCTACTCGGGAGAGAAAGCGAGAGACGATCAATCGAGACACATCATTATTCAAAAGTCGAGAAAAGAGGGGGGAGAGAGAGAGAGAGAGAGAGAGAGAGAGAGAGAGAGAGAGAGAGAGAGAGAGAGAGAGAGTCGATATAGGTGATGACCAAATCTTGGAAGAGAGGCATTCGACATGACCGCCATGCACTCAAGCCAAAGATAAAGATCCGCAACAACAAACGCGCATTCGTCGTTAATTCCAATATGGCCCCTGACCAATCACTCACTCAACTCCAATCATCGACCCTTATACCCGCACCGACGATCCCGACCGTCGCGTGTTTACTCCCCCCACTGCGATCGTCACCCCGCTGTCGTAAACTCGACACGGTTCGCCCGGATCCCACAGTACGTCGTGGCGATCAAGCGCGCAACCGGCCAGCCTATCGTCTGCCCGACAGGACTTTCCGACTCGCATCAATCCACTCTGCCTAGCCACTGCTTCACGAAAGCTGGCTTAGGAGTTGAGAACGTAAGAGAGGTTTTTCGGACGCGCTTGTGTGGTTTATAGTTGCGACAGGGGAGATAGAAGGGGGAGAAGGCGACAGGAAAGCTGAGGTGTAAGAGTAGAAGCAGGAGGAGAAGACTTTGAGAACAGTGCTCTACGAACGCCATGCTGATCCCTCGGAACTCAAGGTTCAACCAATCAGATTCGTCGCGCGATAGGAAGGTCCTATCGATCCACGCACCTGATTGGCGAGCGGGCCCTATCGGAGGATCGATCAGGCGTCGTACGCCAGGCTTAGAGGGTTAGAAGAGAAAAGGCGCGAGAGGTGGCGCAAGACGGGTCCAAGATTCAGATGATCAAGAAAGAGAAATGGGCGCGCGAAAGCAAGGCGGGAGATAGAGAGAGGGAGAAGGAAAAACAGTTACGGGGAGAGAGAAAAAGGAGGGAGAAGGGAAGGGAGGCGCGGGAGGGAGCGATGCGGGGGACAAAGAGGAGGAAGCTTTTGCATGCACGGCGCCGTCAACAAAAAAAGACAAAGGCACCGAAACAGTTACAGCTTGCTTCTATCCTAATTCAAAATTGAAATCACCATATCCGCGCGCGAAAAAGCGACGTGGGAAAATAAAATCCTACGCCTATTCGTATTCACTCAAAATTCCGAGAGGTTTCTTCGACGCGCCCAAGAACATTCACACACCCAAAAAGGACACGTCGAAGTTCCGCTTATCCCGGAATTCCCAACTACCGAGCCCGATTCCCAGTGCGCTCGCTAAGGTGCACGTAAATTCCCATGTATTTCCCGACTTTGCAAGAAGAAAAACAGAACTCAGCAGTTGAAAAAGCTCTCAAAAAGGAAAATGCGGCACCCGAAAGCAAGAACTCAAAACGGGGCTTTCATGGGGTTGGTATGATACAAGCAAAAGAAAGGGTACGAAAGATGGCACGGGGTCGGGAAGTGGTTTGTTACATGCCCTTGGAACATATGAAACCACGTTAGGGCTCTCCACCTTGATCCTTCCTCGTTTGAACTCTTGTCCGAAGACCTCATCCTGCAGCCATACATCTTCGTATGCCCTTATCACATCCTCCTTCACTTTTTTTGGTAAGAAGCGAGCTCCATCTCGGAAGATAACGGTGACCGTTCTTTCCTTTAACCACTTTATCTTGATCTCATCCAGAGTGGAGTTCAAGATAAAATGGAGTTCTCCCTGTCACTTTCATTTCCCCCGGGTCTATGTCCGTTGGCAAAATGCCTTCCTCGTAACACGCTCTTATCATTTCCCTCGCCCTCTCCTCTTCTAATCGACAGTCACCCCGAACCTGGGCCGTTCCTTCTCCTTCACCTTGCATGACTGGTTCAACTTCCATCTTAGCAAACTTCGTCAACAGCTCTTCTAACTCGAAGGAAAAAGACAGGTTCAAATCTCTCTCTCCACTTGATAACAGTCTGGCGGGCGGCATGCTGTAACCGCTGATAGCGTCCACAATGGCTATGGCCATTGGTCTTCGTAAACGCGAAAACACTGAGCTACCTACGCCTACTGTTCCGCGCCGGAAACGTCGTCGCCGGTCAGGCCTGCTGAAAGCCAAAGGCGGTGCTAGCCCCGAGCGCTACCGCGCCGGTCGAAGCGCCTTGGACCGTTACCACCTTCGCCCGACTACGGTAGCAATTGGTTCCTCAATTCCCTCTGTTTTTTGCAGTATAAAAGTGATCCTTGCTTTTGTAAAAAACAAACAAACAACGGACATGTTGATGCGGGGGCCGTTTTCTTTCCGAAATTACCATCATGACGCCATGCACGACATGTGTGCGGATGTGTTGGCGGGCCCCTCGGGCGGCTGCCTATTGTCAACCGCTCTCAACCGAATAGAACGCACCCTCATTGTGGACTCCTTGGGCCTCGCTGCACTACTCTCCACATGCACAAAAGACAAAAGTTATGGCGGTGCATCTTTCCATGTTCCAGCACAAGATTCATTCTCATTTTGCACATTTGGAGAGTAGTGCAGCGAGGCCCGTTGTGGGCGTATGGGAGCTAACCTTCCAGTCCTATACGATCATGTTCTCACGCGCGCGACACGACCCTGTCCGTTTTCGCGGGCGTCATTTTCCGCGATCACATGTGTTCGCGCGCGGCATTGTTTTTTTTTCTTTTTGTTTTTTGGGAAAGCTTGAAATTATATTGCAAAACCGCCCTTGTGATCGTCGTCTGCAGCCCCGCCGATGCACGGGGAGCTCTGCTACTCACGAAAAATGTGCAAAACGAGAATGAATCCTGCCACAGAACCTGGGAAGATACACCGCCATTGGTTTTTGTCTTTTATGCATTGGTTGAGTAGCGCTCGTCATTTTCCGCGCGTAGGGCCTCGCTCCACTGCTCAACGAAAATGTTCAAAACGAGTATGAACGGTCCTCGAAAACATGGGAAGATACGTCTCCAATTTTTCTCGTCTTTTATGGGCCTCGCTCCACTACTAAGGACATGCACAAAAGACAAAAAACAAATGGCGGCGCATGTTCTCATATTCTAGCGGAAGATTCATTCTCATTTTTCATATTTCGTGAGCAGTGGAGCGAGGCCCCATGATCCTGTGGCCAAAGCTAAGGGCATCGCCACACCACTCTCGAAACGTACAAAACGAGAATGAACTTCCCGCTAGAACATGGCCAGATGCGCCCGCCATATTTTTGTCTTTTTGACATTTCCACAGTGGTGTGGGGAGGCCAGCCTTTCGCAGTGGGACGTTGGTCATAAGATGCTCACAGTACGGCCTCACAGGGACATTTCTTTTTAGTTGTCGTTTTGCGTTCCCTGGACAATTGCAAGGGAACGGAAAGTGGTAGGGGGCCTTCCTCCATCGTTAATTAATGGAACGTCCCACCAAAAAGGTTACCATAGCCGTCGTCTTCGCCTTTTTGGCGGTTGGCATTGGCACATCTTCACTGTCTTCTGTACCATCACCGTCTTCAGCATCGGCTTCTCCCCGACCACTGGCATCGTCGCCCTTGGCTACGCTTGCCTCTTTGCCCGCCCGTCGATCTCTCCTGGTAGAGGCGCTCGTGATGCGTTATTCTGATCATTAGGCTATGTCGTCGTGTAGTCTGCCGTGGTAGGGCGCCGTCCCGCTATGTGTACGTCAGGTACTTGAGTCCTTAGCTCTTTGAGCACGTTGAGGGCTTTGAGTACGTCGAGTATGGCGTGGGTGTGCTGATGCAACGAGAACATGCTCAGCATTACACGCCGCGATGGCCGCAATTTGTGGACATGACGCCATATCTGACAAGGTACTCGTCCCGCAGGTGATGTGAGCCCACCTACCGTGGCAAGGTGTGTTCATCTCTCTGCCATCTTCGCCCGAGCACAACGATCCCCTTCCTCCCCTCCCCCCTCCTCTCCCCCCCCTCTCCTCTTCCACGTCATTATGACGGTATCGGACGGAGCGGTTATAGCTTGTTTCCATTCGCGATTAGGTCCCTCGTCCAGGAGGGGGGGGGGGGRGGGGGTAGCAGGAGCGGCATAGGCTCGTGAGTAGCGCGTCTCGATCTCGCCGAAAGCGTGTGGCTTTCCGAGGCAATCCGAGCATTCGTTTTCAGCGGCAATAGCTGCCGCAGTTGCTTTTCCTGAGCATCTCGAGTAGCTTGACCCAGTTGAGCACCTTGAGCACCTTCAGTGCCCAGTGTGTCTAGGAGTAGAAGGTGACAGCGGCCGACAGTCTGGTGAGTTGCGCGTCTCTCTGTCCAAAAGCTACTGGCTTTCCGGAGCACATATTGAGCAGCGAAAGCGAGTGGTTGGTTTCCTGAGCATCTTGAGTAGCTTGACCGCGCTTGAGCACCTTGAGTACCTGGAGTGCCTTAGAGTAGAGACAGAGAGTTGAGCACCTTGAGTACCTAGAGTGCCCTTGATTAGAGACACAGAGTTGAGCACCTTGAGCACCTTGAGTACCTGGAGTGCCTGTTAGGCTAGAGACAGATAGTTGCGTCATTTTGGCTTGCGTGGGTCGGATCATGCTGGCAAATTCTGAGACCGTAGAAGCGTAGCCCCCCGGTCACTTGCCTCGACAGGCTCGATCACAAGCAAGAAGGTAATGTCATGCTCCTCGTCCTGGAGCATTCGATTCGTCCCCTCGGGGTTCTTCTCGAGTGTATAGAATCGTCCTCTCTCTTCCTCGTCGGATCTGTCTTACGCAGCGCCGGGGACATTGCTCTCATGAAGGGTGTGAGAAAGAAGAAGAAGAGGAAGATGATGGTGTCGCAGATGATGACCGGGATGCTGACGATGATAATGCTGGGATCTGCGATGGCTTGCGCAGCCTCTGGCGATGGCGAGAGATCGTTGGCGGCCGGACAGCCGTCGTCGTCTGTCATCCTGAGTCCTCCGGATGGGCGGCGTGATACTAATAATGCCGGTGGTGGTCCCCACCCTCCTATTTTGACTGAGCGTCGTGAGGCGGCGGAGGCGGGTGTAGAGGTAGGCGTAGCGAGACTGCTGATGAGTTTGGACTCGTCGTCTCCGGAGGTAGAGGTCATCGATAAGTCTCTCATTACTGGTTGGAGCGTGTTACTCACGGACACACCGGAGGCGTCCTTCCATTTCGCTAACGAGACAGCGACGAGCTGCAGCCACGGTATTCGAGATCTGGTCTTTGAGAGAAACTCCTCTGTCTTCTACTACGTTCTTGAAGAGTCGTGCGAGTCCAACGGCCAGCTGACGAGCACCGTCATGTCCGTTCGCAAGGCCGATAGAGTCTCAGGCAATCCGGAGCTGGTGAGCTATTGGTGGCCGGCGGCCAACGATAATGGTGGGCTTGCTGAACAGAATCGTACGGTTGTCATCCCTAATCAATCAGACGATGGCCAACCGAAGATGGCGAGGCTGTTAGGCTTGGGCATTTCGGCGGGAAATGCGAATCTGGTACTTAGCACGAACGATGGCGGGAACAACTCAGCGATCACGTACCTGTCGACAATCGACAGCCGTCGATCTTCAACGGCATTCCCAGGGTACTCCTTGTCTTCGTTGGCGTTCAATCCGACGAAAACGAAGTTATACGTTCTCCTTTCCAACTGGGAAGTGGAGGGGATGCTGACGGCTGACGTGGCGGGCGACGAGATGCCATCAAGTGCGAACTTCCAGGGTGTCGGCAATCTCGAGGGAGTAGCCCTCGGCGGCGGCGGCGGCGGCGGCGGAGGTGGAAACTCGCCGCCGCCGCAGCGGAAAGAACTCTTCTTGGGTCAGCAGAGCTTCGATAGTTTGGGTAGATGCATGTACCTGCTAGATCGAGGCGATGGTAGAGTATGGGCGGTGAACATGAGCAACACAACTGATGCCAAGTCTGTAGAGTGGGAGGGAGGTCGGGACGGTGGTGAGTCGCCGGCGACGCCGTCTGAGGACTGGAAGTCGTTGGCAGCCACGTCGGATGGTTGTCATCTGTTTGTCAGCTCCAACGGGCAGCAGTCGGGTGTCCTTCGGTGGATCCAGCTGGACTCAATCTGCGGCAAAGCGCGCCAAGTCGTCGAGGTCGCGATCGTTGTGCAGACCGGGATCTGGGGAATCTCCCTCGACGAGCACGAGAATGAGCTGTTCCTATACGTCGGAGCCATGGATGGGCAGCTGTTCAAGCTTAGCCTTGTCAAAGACGCATTGCCGGACTGCACGTCCTCCTCATCCCCGGGGGGTAAGACTCCGACGTCGGCGGGGGCGCTTGGTAATCACCAAAGCCCTCCCCCATCACAGCAACAAAAGAAGGGGTTTCATCTGTTGGTTGCCTTCAGTATATTGGCAGTAGCGGGCGCTCTGTGTGTGATTGGCCTTGTTTTCTTCTTCCGTGTGAAGTCAGTAAAGCAACCTTTTTCTAGTGGTAAGGACCCGTTCCTCGATGAGACGACAGCAGACTCCTACGCCTCGGCATTGATTCCCGAGCTAATGCGATCTGACGATCCCTCCATGGACGAGGGCGTCGGGATCGGGGCGGAGGTGTACACGATGGCCACGCTGTCGCGATGTACGAACAACTTTAGCGACGCGCACCGCGTTGTAGGGTGGAGAGGTCCGTTCGCGGATGCGTTTAGGGCAGTAATTAACGATAAGGAGGTGGTAATCAAGGAAATGGCGGGAAAGCTGACGTCGGACAATCGTACGCGCTTCCTAGTCGAGGTTAAGAAGTTGGAAGTGCTTCGTCAGCATCGTTTGAGTAACCTAGTTCCTCTCAAGGGGTATTGTAGGGAGGGAGACCGAGCAATCCTAGTGTATCCATATATGGGGGGAATCAGTTTATACGATCGATTGCATCCTCGAGGCAGCATGGACTGCAATTTTGGCGGGAAACGCGGCCGTACAGCTCCAGTAGCCCTGGTGACCGGACCTCTTTCTCTTCCTTTTTCGCGCGTCTCTTTTTCCGCTTCGCCGCCTCTTTCCGGCGACTTACCGTCTCCTTCTCCTCCGTCTCCTCCTCCTCCTCCCTCGAACTCGTCGCTTCCTCTTCCTCTTCCTCCCGACTCCTCTCATTCTCCTACCAATACGCAGTATCCTTCTCCGCACGTAGCTTTCTTACCTTCATCTCCCCTTCCTCCTCCCTCTTATTCGCAGTCTGCTCCTCGTCCTTCATTTCATTCTACTGCTCCTCCTCCTCCTCCTCCTGCTTCCCCTCCATACCCTGCTCTTCCTCCTCTCACGCTGTTCGAGCGCATGTCGATTGCACTCCAGGTTGCTGGCTGTCTCTCCTTCCTTCACGACTATGTGAAGCCGAAGATTGTTCATGGAAGCATCGCAAGTCGTAGCGTCATCCTAGCGGCTGAGGGGTTCGCCACAGAGCTGCGCGCCGTTCTTGCTGACGTGGGCGTGGCCAAGATCGAGGAGAGCGTGTTTAGTATGCCGCGGATTCGCCGCGTGGAGGCGGCGCGCGAGGCAGGCGAGCACGGGTACGTCTCCCCGGAACTAGAGAGGAGCGGGAGATTAACAACGAAGTCTGACGTGTACGCGTTCGGCGTGGTCCTGCTGGAGCTGCTGACGGGCGAGCTGCCAGTGAAAAAAACGGATGCGTCGGGATCGGGATGCCAGACGCTGGTGGAATGGGCAGGACCTGCGCTGCGAGATCCGGCGATGAACGCGGGAAAACTACCGACGGAGATCCTAGACCCCAGTCTGGTGGATGACGTGGGCGCAGAAGGATCTGCCACGTGGAAACTGGCGGCGGGAGCTTTCCGTGTGGCCAGAGATTGTGTCGAAGGTGAAGGATGCGCGGGGATCCGGATGAGCGACGCTGTGTACAGACTGAGAAATCTGATGATGGAGGCAAAGCGGAAGTCCAAGTTCGGTACGACGTTTCTGAGTCTTACGAGGAAAGTAGAACGCATATTTTCACCCTAGGTAGTATATTTTGTTGGTTTCTGTACTCTTGTGACAGTATATATATATATACACATAGGAAGAAAACCCTAGGTCGTAGAACTTCTTTCGGTGTTCTCTCTTTTTTTTTTTTTTTTTTTTTTTTTTTTTTTTTTTTTTTTTTGGACCTCTCCTCCGTTTCCCTCATGCTACAGCTTTTGTGGCACTGCGATGTAGTCGCGAGCGTACTTTTTTTTTGTTTTTTTTAAATTTTGTTTGGAGGGGTCACGAGCGTACTTAGAGGGGTGGTGTACTCACACTAGGACTTTTTTACTTATTTATGGACGTAATTCGGGTCAGATGCATCCACGTCTGGCCGTAAATAAGGTCAGATACTCTTAAGAAACAGTTGGTGCGAGGACGCCCTTAGGGGGTGGTGTAGGGTGTACTGAGGGCATACTCATGCGAGGGATTTTCTATTTATTTACGGACAAGATTGCGGCCAGGTGCATCCATGTCTGGCCCTATAATTGGACTCAGATGCATTTTCGAAAGTGCTAGTTTGAGTGCATGCCCTTTCACACCTCTACTGTATTTTCTCTCTTGGATCGGATTGCAAATACGGACGGATTCAGTTGACAGCTGGTGGGAGTTGGCGCTCGACGAATTCACTCCTGTAATTTATTGCATGTATCTTACTGTAATCACCGTCAAGATTCAGTCAGTCGAGACGAGAAAGTCCTGCCTGGTGCGAGTATTCTCTTTTATTGACAGTACCAGTGGTTGACGTCACCTCTGAGGGTGGCGATGATCATTTCGCTCGTGCCAGATTTTTCTGGTGTTTTTTTTTTGTTGTTCCCCCTTTTTTTTTCTAAATCCTGCCTGCATGTATCCTACTGTAATCACAGTCAACATTCAGTCAAGATAAGAAAGTCCTGCTGCTACTCTTCTCGTTATTTAACGTAGCCGTAGTTCGACGTGACCCCTCCTGAGCGTGTCGATTATCGATTATCATTTCGGCGTGCTAGATTTTCATTATTTTGGTCCTTTTTCTCAAAATCCTGCCGGATGTGATAATCAATCTTGGCGGGAAATCATCAAGACGTGGCTTTTCGTGTCGGGACTATGTTTTGGACTCGCGCGACGAGGTTCACGACTCGTGTTGTTGTATATCTGGACTCTCTTGCGCGTCGGAACTCGGGGCATTTTCACACTAGGAGTTTCTTTACTTGTTTCTGGACGGAATTGCGGTCAGATGCATACAAGTAGAGGGAGGAGGGCATTCTCTCTCTCTCTCTGTCTGATGATGATGATGGAGGCAAAGAAGAGATCTGAGCAAACCTACGATAGACAACTGATGAGAGGAGGGCATGGTTAGAAATAGAGAGAACGAAGATGGAAGGAATTTGACACCAGGCATAAGAATTTTCCCGGAGTGCTCTCTCTCTCTCTCTCTCGCTCTCTCTCTCAGATGATGATGATGATGATGGAGGCAAAGAAGAGATCTGAGCAAGACCTACGATAGGCAACTGATGGGAGGAGGGCAAGATTAGGAATAGAGAGAACGAAGATGGAGGGAATTTGACACCAGGCGTAAGAATTTTCCCCAAGGCGACCGATGGCTCGCAATTGAAGTATCATCGAAGTTAGGCTCGTCGCTTCTGGCAGTATACTACCCGTCTTCTCACCCGAATAGAACGCCCGGTCATTATAACTGTATCTGGACTGAAAATTGCACCAAGTACGGCTGTACTGACCGGGCGTTCTATTCGGGTAAAGACGGTAGTCATTGCACAAGCCGACTGCCCGCGTCTCTATCAGCTCGACATGACAAAGGCCATGTCAATGTATTTGTACGCTTTCACCGAAGGTCGATGATTTCTTTACTTCGCTTTTCAAAAGCAGAAAATGAGAAACTCGCTTCTTCGACAAAATTCGAGGAATTCGCGTCATGCGATGGTTACGTAGAGGTTTAAAACTGTCACCGCTTACGGCAGTGTCACACCCTCAGCCTCCGTCTCTCTCTGTCCGTCAGTCTCACGCTCTCTCTCTCCCTCTCTCTCACTCGCTCTCGCCTTTCAGGCATCATCTCACTGTTGACCTCCGTCTCTCTCTCTGAGCCTCGCTCTCTTCTCCCTGTCTGTCTCGAGCGCTCTCATCCTTTTGACGCAGCATCATACCGTCAGCCTCTCTCTCTCTCTCTCTCTCTCTCTCTCTCTCTCTCTCTCTCTCTCTCTCTCTCTCTCTCTCTGTGTGACCGTTTCAAACAGCATCAAACCATTAGCATTCTTCTCGAGCGCTCTCACCGTTTTGACGCAGCATCACAACGTCTCTCTCTCTCTCTCTCTCTCTCTCTCTCTCTCTCTCTCTCTCTCTCTCTCTCTCTTACCGTTTCAAACAGCATCTCACCATTAGCATTTTTCTTCTCCCTTTCAGCCTCGCTGTTCTCCTCCTGTCTGCCTCGAGCGCTCTCGTCGGTTAACTCGAAATCACACCGTTAGTCTCTCTCTCTCTCTCTCTCTCTCTTTCTCTCTTGCCTGTCTTGAGAAAGAACGTGTAATGGGATGATGTCTCTCGCTCACCAGAACGTTGTTCCCGATTTTTTTTGTTAAATAGACTTTCCCGTTAAAGGAATGCAGGAAAAAGTGTGAGAAGGAGAGCGAAAGATAGGAGTGTTGCCGTTTGACTTGATTTTTTTTTCATTTTTCGCCGTTTTGAACAAAGAGTGCCGTCTACTGAAGAGGATAACGAGTCAAATTTTTCATTTTTGTTTTCTTGAAAAAGCGGAAAAAAAGTCAATGAGGCGAGAAATATAAACAAGCGCGAGCGTCGCTGGAGCTGCAGGCAAATGAATGACGGCATCGAATTGTCTCCTGAGGACACATCGGCGGCCTCCCAGGAATCCATCCTGCATCCCGACTAGCGGCTGTCAGGTCTGGCAGAGGCAGTTCAATTACATCCAATCTGAGGACGTCGGCTCGAGCCTGGGATGCGTCGCCGTTGCTTCGCCAGCACCCCGAGGCACCCAGTTATAGCATCGTCTGTTTGTCTTTCTGTGCCTTCCTTCCCATGCGTACACGCACACACGTATACATTCGAAGTTCAGCATTCCCCGCTCCCACACTCTCTCTCTCTCTCTCTCTGACTCTGCCTCCCTCTCTCTCCCTCTCCCTCTAACTCTCTCTCTCTCTCACTCTCACTCGCTCTCTCTCACGCTCTCTTGCGAAGGGACGCATGCCTTATTCATGAATATCAGTGTGCCTCCTTTGCTTGTAACCAAACAGTGGCGATGGTTCTTCCATTTAAACTCTTCATCCCGGGCGGAAGAGAGGGCAGATGTGTGTGTGTGTGTGTGTGTGTGTGTGTGTGTGTGTGTGAGAGAGAGAGAGAGAGAGAGAGAGAGAGAGAGAGAGAGAGAGAGAAT